CACCTAATTGGTTAAATAAAATTAATTAAAAAATACTAACGTAAAGAAAAAGATGATGTGATAATTAAAAAAATAAAAAATGACATGTTATACTACATAAACATTGTCGTTAATGGTTTTAAAAAATTAAAATTTAGATACTAAAACAAAATAAAAGTGATAATTTAGGTAAAAATGTGTAATTTATCCTTTTAATATTTACTTAATAAAGATAATTTAGTTAGTGGTGTGTTTCGATACGTTGCTTTAGTAGTGTGTTGCGGTATACGACATGTGCCGTAGAATTTTCCCAAAATTAAAGATCTCAACCATTCATAGTCGATAATTTTCTTATAGAAAATTTGGTGAGTTAGAGAATCAGTTTTTGTTTATTAGGATGAATAAAATTCAATTTAAATTATATTTGATTTGATGTTGAAATAATTAATTCGAAATTGATTAAACTCAAACAAAAATTTTTTTTGAATAAAGTTTGAGTTATAAAATAATATTGGAATAACCCAAAATTTTTAAGTTTTTAAAGTTTGAGTCGAATCCCTTAGCTTTGTACAATATATGTATATCGTATATGAAATATATATATATATATAGAAAGTCAATTAAATTAAAATTCATTTATCATAACATTATAAAAATTTATAATTAAATTTAAACATAAAATAATTAAATTTAAACAGAAATTCAAACAACTCGGCTTGACTTGAATTTTATTAACTCGATTGAATTTAAAAAATTAAAATAAAATTTGAGTTATAAAATATGACTCAAGAACTCGACTAACTCAAAATATTTTGACTCCACTCAACTTGGCTCGATCGAATATTCATACTTATTGATCATATATAAATTACACATCGTTAACTAATACACAAGTAGTTGTACCGGTTTTGCAGGGATGGACTGAGGGGTGATAGAGGTATACCTCTAAAAAAATTAAATTCATTTATATTTTAGTATTTTTATATTTTCTATTAATTATCTAATTTCGTACCCCTAAAACTTTATAGACTAACATCATCTACCATTTTTAATATAACTTCTTAAATTCACAACCATAATATAAATTCTTGCGTCCGTTTATACGGACTGTTTTGTTTAAACAAGTAGCCAAAGTGGTAAAGATGAGCACGAACAATTACAATGAATTAAGGCTGCATCAGATGATAATTAAAAAGTAAAATATATAAATGAAAGATTATAAAGAAAAAATGTAAAGAAGCATATATCTGTATTTTTCAACAGTTTCTGTACTGCATACCCACGTTGTTTGTAGTTGTTCATTTTAGAGTAAACTATACTTTAGTACATTAATTATTATTTTTATTCCATTTTAATCACTTGATTATTTTTTAAAATCATGTCGGACGTTATGTTTTGGTTTCATTTTAATTATTCACCGTTAAAAATTAATAGAACTGTTGACTTGATATTTTTTATTTTTCAGTGATGATGTGGTATTTTCTTATGGTGGCACGTCAGTATCATCTTAGCTTTTTAATGAAAGGTGCCCAAAATGAAACGAAAACTAATTATTATGAGTGATTTTAGAAAAAAATAATTGACTGATTAAAATAGAACAAAAGCGACAGTATAAGTATTAAAATGTATAATTTACCCTCCATTTTAAAAGCGTACACAATGCTCCATACCCATCCAGATGGGTCGGTTTGTAGCATATAGGGCCACCCACCCTATAATCATGAACCTAGTACCTATTGCCATTCCAACAATATGCAAGAATATTATCAGAATCAAACAAGGAACATGGAAGATACCTACATGTTCATAAGTAAGCGTAACTATTTATAAATGGTTCGTATAATGTTTATTCATTAAATTAAACAAGCGAGCATAAATAAAAAAAATTAAGTTTATTTAATAAATGAACGAATATAAATAAAGGCGTGTTTGATTAGTTTATGTTCAGGAATATATTGATCCATCGACTTGTTCGTTTATATTCATGAATCTGTTCATTTATATTCATGAATAAGTTCATTTATAAGCTTGTTTACTTTTTATTTTTATTTATTTATTTATATTTTAAATATTAGTGAATGTATAGACTAAATTGAACACATGATAAAATTTGAAGTTTAAGCTATACAGTTTATAAAATTTAAGCACTAGTGGCATAATTTTATCTTTCTAGCTTGCAAATTAATATGTTCATAAACGCTAAATCAAAATATTCATAAACAAATAAATGAACACTTAATGAAGACTAAACATACATATTTGAAAATGTTAAATTAACTAACACAAACACCTTTAAAATAGACATGTCTCAAAAGTTGTGAAGCCTTTGTGCTACTATTTAAAACGATGCCTCTAAAATATTTTATAATAAGGATTAATTTATCAATTTTAAAATTATGAGGATGTATGAAATCTTTTTATCAAAATTCATCATGAAAACCGAGTAATTACAGTTTCAAAATCTTCATTGCAACTTTCTAGGCCACTTCCTCGTAATCAAACAGAAATTATCTTTTCTTTTAACGAAAATGTCATTAGAGTACAAAGGTTGTACATTAACATGCCTGAATAACATTCATGTGTGTGGCTCCTAAAATTTGGAGTCCTATGATCGGTCACAAACCACACTTATACACGGATAGATCAACTTATAAAATAAATAAACGAGCATGATATTAAAAATTTAAATAAACATAAATACCTTCGTACTTATTTTACAACCATTTTAAATTGCTCATTTTTACACAGTAATATACGAAATCCTTTTGTCACAGCCCACTGTGACTCACTGATTCAGTTGCAGAAGAAAAAGATAAAGAAAGTACAAATCAACTAATTTTAACGGTAAATGATTTATTATAATTTTTTGAGGTTTCGAATTTAAGCATTATAAATATAAGTAAAATGAACATTCAATAATGTTTGAGAATATTTTTTGAACAAATATTATCTTATATTTATCCCACGTAAATAAATAAACAAACAATTATTGTCCTTGCTAACAACTTGCTGCTAACTAATTCTTCCTCTTGTTACTCGTTCATCAGTCCTATTTGGTTGGGCCTCCATGATTGTAGTTGACCCGTCCGCAGTATTTATACCATATGATTTGGGCAAATAACAAGGCGTGACTGAAATATGGCCACTGATAACTCCAATTTAATCCTCTAAAATATAATTCCTTTCAAATTAGCCCTCCAAAATTTTCTAAACCCGGATTTGGGTGTGACAGCATATCTAAAAACATCTAAAAGGTGACAAATACAGCCATTGTTCCTACACTTAACACAAATTACTTACCAAGCATTTTATCACACCTATTTTCACTTCATTACTGTCATGTTTTAACAGTTGGCACACTTATCTATCAATCTCAATGAATCACGTCAGTTACCACATTTACTAGAATAGGAATAGCAGTTAGGGGTGTATTTGGTTCGGTTCGGTTCGGTTTTTTACCAAAAATTGAATCGAACTGAAATAAACGGGTTTTCAATATTTAAACCGAAATCGAATAGTTAAAAAACCGAAAAAACCAAAACTGGGTTTTTCGGTTCGGTTCGGTTTTTTTAACGGTTCGGGTTTTTCGGTTCGGTTTATCGGTTTTTCAATAAAAAAATCACTTGAATCTATAATTTTTTTTACAAAATTGCCTATCCGGTTCAATATGGAACAAATGGGTTCCATATGAAAAACCCGAACCGAACCGAATCAAAAAAATGAAACCTTTAAACCGAACCGAAAACCGAACCGTTTAAAGCCAAACCGAACCGAACCGTTTTACTCGGTTCGTATCGATTTTTCGGTTTTTTCGGTTTCGATGCTCAGCCCTAAAAGCAGCATCCCATCATTCATAATAAAAGAGGTTCAAATAATTACCAAGTAAGCTATTTTTATTGATCTAAGGATAACGGTGATTATAAGATAATATATATTAAAAAAGCTCTCAATCTATCTGACAATGGACGCTTATAATGTGTTCAAATCTTAGACCTACAATGATAACAATCATTCTTTTAACAACTGAGAGTTTGATTTATGCAAGTAAATTACTCAAATTTTTTTAAAGGACACAACGTATAAAATCATATCCACAAACAATGTTGCTGATGCAATTCATTAACAAGGATGAGAAAAGTAATATATCTCGAGATAACATTGATTAAATATAAAAGCATATCCACAAACAATATCACTGATGTAATACGTTAACAAGTACGAGAAAAATAATATATCTCGATTTAACATTGATTAAATAGTGGAGATTGCAAATCAAACCAAGAAAAGACCGAAACTTTGGCTTAGTTTTATGATTTTCAATGAAAACAAAACCGAGAAAAAGAACGTTTTCATATCAATTACATCACAAGTAACAGTAAACTATGTTAGACTTTATAACAAACTAGGGTTTTGAACGAAAAAAGGAAATGTATTAGTGGAAATATTCATCAATAATTTGCAAAGGAGCCAGCCTTGCTCATTTATAGTTCAGCTTAAGAAAGTAACCTCCCACGATAAATTCCTAACAACCAAAACCACCTTCCTAACAGCTTCTCCCGCCAACGCATTCATGCTGCCAGCTCATAGTTCAACAGACTATAATCAACTTCGGTGGATAAGGATTTCGACCATGAGAAGAAGAATATTAAAATACAAATTTAATTTCGTAAACCAAAATACCCAAAACACAATGTTTTAGTATCGAGATTACACAACTAACAACTGGCTAAAATAAGAATTTTTAAAAATGAGTGACCAAAGAAGAAACACTAAATAGTTGAGTGACTAAATGATGTGGTTTATCCAAAATAGAAATATAAAAGAATGGGGTCCTTTAAGTAGGGAATGGAATTTCAGAAGTCAGTCCGGTCAATTTCAGTAGGGGTAGCCTATTGTTATCCATGTAAGTTTCAAATACATCTGCTGGGATGTTTATTGTCGAGTGATTAAAATTCTTTCGAATAGATATTATATTATAATTATATCACCTAATCAAAATATATATAGTCAACAACCGCATCAAAACAAATTTTATTCATTATTTATAGAAAGAGTACTCACTATCCCTCATAATTATATACGTACCAATTGAACAGCAGTTTCAATTACTTCTACCAAACGAATTATCCGGGAACAACAACACGAGAAACAACTTCAACACTATGCTATATGATGATCACGAAAGCTGCTGACAAACTAAACAATACCATCTTAACCTTCAAGCAGCAACCTGACCGAAAAGTAACCTGCGGATCTGCGATTAGAGGGAAATAGAACTAAGATCAGAAAAACGGAAAGAAAAAAAAAATTCACTGTCAAAATTATGCTATGCTACACATATATGATCAGAATTACAAAACCTTGAACTTTCCTACCACCATAATGCAGTTGACAAGCACTGTACTTGGACCGTAGATGAGACGAGATGATCACAAGCTACTCGGTCAAAGTTTGATCAACAATCGAATCGAATAGACTAGAACTGAAGTACTTAACAAGCTAAGCAAGCTACATGATAGTAATACCCGACTCGAAAAAGCTCGAGAGCAACTCAAACAAAATGATATATTGATTTTTATATTATTAAATTAAATTATTAATAATATTAACATTTATATGTTCTTTTTTAAATACATATATAAGACTTTCATGTACTTAAAGTTCAGGTTCTAACTCGAGTTCAAGCTTGAACTGAGCTCGAGTTTGAGCTTCAATTAGGTTAATTCTAAGAATATTTCGAGTTTAAATTTTTTCAAGCTCAAGACGAGCTTCAATTTTTTATTTTGAGTCGAGCTTAAAAATTTTAATCTCGCGAATTTTCAAGTCAAGACGAGCTCAGTTTTAAACTTTTCGAGTTGAGCCGAGCTTAGTAATACTCGAACTTGAGTCAATATAGCCCTACACTAACTAAAATGCACTCCACCATATGGCTATGCAAACAAGAAATAAAGATACACATACAAGCAGTATATGCATTCTGCACTGGCCATTTGCATTTTCAGACTCATCATGAAGTACTAAAAATATTGCAATTAACAGTTAATTAAAGAAATAATCCCTCCATCCAGGCTATGAAGGCATGGTTAACAAGGGTACTGTAGGCAGAATTAATATAACTAAGGGAAACAAGTTAAAAATAATTTAAATGCATCTCAGAAACCACCAAAACGCACCTCTGGAAGTTTCTTATTGAATGCAACATCCAAACGTGCATCCAAGGCGTTCTCAAACACAATTTTTCCATCTTGAGATGCCATGACCACACCTCCAGAGCTGCAAGATTTTAAGGGGAAAATGTATTAGCATTACATCTTCGATCTTTTTCTTCTTTTTTTGTAGGGGAAGGGGTGCATCAAGGAGAAGATCACAAAACAGGAGCAACCTTATCAAATATCAGTACGGAAATCAGTTATGTATCACTAGCATTTTGTATAGTAAGAAGCACAAGCATACAACTCAACACTTGATTACAAAGTCTACGGAAACAAATCCTAATGAACCTAAGGGAAACATTGCATGACTAGGGACATTTAATCTTGCATTTCCATAAAACTAATCTGTTTACCAGAAAGGTCCTTGAGCCTCAGCATGATGATGAAAAGAACCATGATGATGATGAGGACCAGGGGGAAGATGAACATCATCAACGAATATCTCTGGAGGATGAACATTCACTTTAGAAGCATACTCCTCCTTCGCTGAATCCAGAACAGATTCCACCAAGTGCAAATCCTCTTTGCGACAACGAAGTAGGACAGCAGGCTCTTTCAGTCTAACCAAACTCTGCAATAAAAGTTATTCAAATAAAAGAAGACCCCAATAGCATATCTAATGTTACAACTTTCTAAGATTTTCAAGAAAGGTCTTGCTATACTCTGACCTGAACAATTAGATCTTTCAAAAGATTTTTGTACACATGGTGATCATGGCTCACACTCAGAAGGTCCTTGGATGCTGATTCTTTCATCTCATTAACAACATCATCCTGAGCATGAAGTACCTTAATCCTAGACGCATTCAGCTGCATCGAATACTCACTGCAATAAAAGAATAAAGCTTAATCTTTTTTTTCCACAAAACACAAGTATATTCCTCACTAATTACTCCTATGTACCAATCCTGCATCAAAACAAACTAAACTTGCTACGATTTCAATGTTCAATAATTTTTCACCCAAATCACAATAAGTTTCATCAGTAATCGAAATAGCACCAGCTTGAGATCTAACTAATTTTCAATAAACTAATATTAAGGGCTAGAATTTTACTCATATTTTAAGTACAAATATTAGCCTCAGATTGAATTCGACTTAATATCCAGTAAAACATAGAAATCCAGTAAGAAAAATAAATTGAACTTAAAATTGGCATTTATTTAACAGAAAAAGGAAAACCAAATCAAATTTAACAAAAACCCGGCTTACGTTTTCTTACGAATATCAACTTGCTTCTCCTTCTTCTCGTACTCCTGCCTGATCTTCTTCTTCTCCGCCTCCACCAATTGAAGCTTCTCGATGTTGAACTCCTAAAATACCCATCGTTTAACCATCAAATCGCCGGAATATCAAAAACTTCAAAGAGAGCAAAAATAGTTCCGAAAAGAAGCAAAAAAGTGAATGAAGTAGTGAAAATTTTAAGAACCTCTTCGGCAGAAACTGAGATCTCGTTAGCCTTTTCCTCTGCCTCTTGGCGGATGAAGCTCACCATCTGATGGATCTGCTTAGATACATCTGAGTCGTTCATTTTCGCGGTGATCTTGATTTGATCTCTCGATGAACAGTTCAGAGAAGAGTGTAGAATTCGAATTCGAGGGAGAAACTAATAATGCAGACTCTGATCACAAGCAGTTTTATACAGGCCTCGTAGACGCGTGTGATCAAGAGCCGTTCGTTTTTTATATTATCATCTATCTTGTTAACCCAAAAATCCCCTGACCGTCGGATTTGGACAGACTACTAAATTATCATGCGATAATTTTTATCCCCGCTCTATTTTATAATTATAAAAAAATTATAATTCTCTAAATATTTGTTGTTGATATAGTGTAATTATTTATTATTTTTTGGGTAAACTACGCCAATGGTCACTGATGTTTGGGTAATTTTTCGTTTTCACCACTAATGTTTCAAAAGTTACAAATCGGTCACTAACGTTGTCATTTGTGACAAAATGGTCACTGCCGTTAACGAGAGGTGTGACGAAAAATACAGCTGGACCGTTATCTGTTGAGTTGGATCGTTGACCGCCATTTTGACTGGCTCTTCTTATTCTTCAACCCATTCCTCATCTTATTTTTCTTCACTTTTCTTCTTCTTTCTTTCTCTTCATTTTTCTTCACTTTTCTTCTTTTCCTCTTTACCAAAGTTTCTACGGCACAGAATGATAAGCTGAAGCATATACCTGTTGTAAAGTATTCGGGGGCAATGTATCCTCTCGAACCAATGACCCCTGAGCAACATGTGATTGGTCTTCTAAGGGTCCATACCTAGCCAGCCCGAAGTCTGATAGTTCTGGATAGAAATCCTGCTACATGACGCTTAGCTTAATGAATACTTTATGCAGCGAGGATTGATGGAAACATCGTGAGGTAAATGTTAGATATGCGTCTGTATAAGTCAGACGCATTAAAAATAAGTATCATTGAAGGAAACAGACTGCGTCAAGAAGGACATTGGACGCTTTAAGGTCTCGATGAATGACTGGCCTTGCACAACTGTGAAGGTAGTCTACTGCCCTTGCTATTCCAATAGCTATTTTGATTCTTCTACTCCAGTTTAGCTCTGTATCATTCTCTTCCATTACAACGCGTTAGTTCCATGATTGTATCAACCAATTTTCTCTGGTCATATTGTTAGGACCGTCGGCGCACCCATGGCGCAGTGGAAATAAAACTCGACGGTTTCACCAGAGATTCAAGTACGAAAAACTGAAATCGGGAGGAAGAGATGCGAATACTTACAGCGGGTTCCTTGAAAAACAGCAAGGAAAGCAGTGAATTCTGGTGGTGTAGATCGGTTCGAATCGTAAGCCTCCACGAAATCAAGTCTCGGCCTCTACTCAGTTCACCCGATTGAGAGCAATTTTGTTTTCCCCAAAACAGTTTTGAGAGAAAGTGGCTGAAGGTTTTGTGTGTGTTCTCCCCAAAACGACTACTAGACCTAACATACCCTTTTATAGCCAAGTTACCCTAGTCATATTAGGGTTTTTATTATTTCAAATTAATTAAATCTATATTTAATTAATTGGAATTTAATAATCCTTTTATATTCAAGTTACCCTAATCATATCAGAGATTTTATTATTTCAAATTAATTAAATCTATATTTAATTAATTGAAATTAAATATTCGGGATTATTAAAATATATATACTTAATTAACTCTAGATATATTTTAGTAACGTACAACAAATTGTACATTTTTTCTCGTTTCAATCTTAGGGTGTGACCCTGTAGGTTCTTGTAACATTAGAAGTAATTATTAGAACAATTCTAATATTACATACAATGAGTGACATCTAGCAATATATCATTGTCACCTAAGTTACAAGAAAATATGATTGGACATATCATCTTGGTGATTAACTCTTTTATGTATTATATCCTTATGTCATTTATATCTAGAATAGGCACAAGTCTTGGAATAGTCACACTTGTATAGTCCATCTATTGTTTCTTGATTTCTAGAGTAGACTTTAATTAACGAATAGTTTATGATATCTCATATCAACTTATTCGAGCATGGTCGTGCGTTTCTAGTCTTACTCAATCAAGTAGCCTATGATATATTTCATATTATGTAGGAATGACATATCCTATCTTAATCATACACACCCACTACATATATTGAGATATATTCAATAACAGTCTTTATAGAGCAACCAGTTACGGAGCTTGTTTAGTTGCATCACAACAATATATGTTGGGATAGTATTGATCTCAAGTATGAGGATCATACATATAGTCATCACCATGAGTAATGTTATGACTGTCACATAATAATCCAAGACATATGCTCATGGTGGGTCAATCCAATACATTGTTTTCTAACAATATAATCATGTATTAATTCTGACATCTCTATGTCAATGACAACTCGTTGTCATCAATCAATAACATGTTAGTCTTGAGCGTATTATTATTGTCCATGCCCATAATAATACTTGACTAGGGATCTTTTAATAATAACAATTATGTCATTATATGGACTTTATTATCTTCCAGTTTATGTTAAACACATATATATAACTGAAAATAATAGCGGCAATGCCTTTATTCAATAAAATCGATAAATAAAAGTATTATTACTATCATCATATGATTGGTCTTTGGGCATACTCTAACACATATTAAGGTATTGAGCTCTACCTCTCAAGAGATGGGTATCCAAGCTTCCCCTGCACATGTACTCATAAACCACAATCCTATAGTCTCTCTCATTGTAATAGCCCAGAAGTTTCACCACATTGGATGATTTAATGTCTTTAGAAACGTCAATTCATTCTGAAATCAACAAAACACATTCCTCTTAGATATAGTGAAAGTGAAGGTGGATAACTGGATCAGAACCAAACTTGCCATTCTTTGTCGCTCTATACCCCTCTTCTTCCGAGCACCTTGATAGCAACCGCCTTGCCAGTGTCAGGCTTTGCAGCACTCATACTGTGTTGATTTATATATCCTATATACACTCTTCCAAAACCGCCTTCACCGATTATGTTCTCGTCACTGAATTTATGGGTGGCAGCCCTCAAGACGCTATAATAAAAGCTTTTGATGTTCCGGCCAAGAACCCATGCAAGTTTTTTCACCCTTGAAACTGACCAATATCTTGGAGTCGTTGGGGAACCATGTCGTTTGCTCTTCTTTCGGTTTTCTAGAAAGGAAATAGAAAACTAGAACATAGTCTTAGAAAAGGAACTCTATTTTCACATCGTATTAGGGACTCGAGTTGTTTTAGTACCTTTACGTGAATGTGAAGAAGCATCCTTGTTTCTCTCCTGGCGTGTTGCACTGCGTTGTTCATATTTACAATGGTTTGCTAGATCATGAATGAAAAACAACAGGATGGGATCATTCATGGTTAAGACAACAAACAATGGGTGATCAATAAAGCAGTGATTTACATTTAGAAGATTGCGAATGACCAGATGAAGTGAAGAAAAGTGAAGAGAAAGAAAGAAAAAGAAAAGTGAAGAGAAATAAGATGGGGAATGGGTTGAAGAAGAAGAAGAGCCAGTCAAAATGGCGGTCAATGATCCAATTCAGCAGATAACGGTTCAGTTGTATTTTTCGTCACGCTTCTTAACGGGTGTTAACGACTAGTGACCATTTTGTCACAAACAATAACGTTAGTGATCGATTTGTAACTTTTAAAATATCAGTGACCATTGGCGTAGTTTACCCTTATTTTTTTAATGTTTTAACATAAATTATAATTATATAATTATATAGTATGAATCAAATGATCTCGATAATTAAGAGATTTCTTGACCATATAAATTTAAATTTTAAAATACTATTAACGATTATAAAAATTATCAATAACACTTGCAAACATTCTTTAAATATTTAAATAAATATTTGATAATAAAATTACTAATATATAATTTTGTTTATTAATAATTTTATTTGTTGGCCATTAATCAAATTCTTCATTATATGAACCAGAATTAGGATTAGGATGTATATCATAATTAATATATTCTTTTTCCATATACTCTTTAAAGCATTTTTAATTATTTGTAAATTGTTATAGAAAACACTAACAATATTTAGCTATATGTAAATTGTTATAAAAAAAACACTAGCATGTTATATATTTAAAAGTTTATGTAATAAACACGAACTTAGTTATGTTAATGGATAAAAAGATGGTTGTTATTTTTAAATGTTTCGAGTTCGAGCACATTTTATGTCAAGAGTATTCGAGCGTTCATTGTTAAATGAATTGAAAGTCTTTCGAATACTACCTTATAGCCACTCTAGATTAATCAAAAAAAGTTTACATAATAAAAAAAGTTATAATAAATTATTATAGTTTTTTATTATAAAATAATGTAATTTATTATACATGTATAGTTTCATGTTATAAAAGAAAGAATTCCATGTTATGTTAAAAATCATTGTTTTAATTATGAAAATATTATTACCTCTTATATATATAAAAAGTTAATGTTATATTAAAAATTTATTCTTATATTATTAAAATATAATGTTATATATATAATTATAATTATAATTATAATTTAGGGTATATTCAAAATGTATTTATTATGTATGTTATCAGTTGAACATATTTTGATATACCAAAAGTAATTAATATTTTAATGAAATTTTAAGATTATATTTGATTCGATCATTTGAATATAGAAATTCTTTTTAAGGTCAAAAACTCTAATTTTACTTCTTATTCTATTGAAGTCATGTACTGAAAATAATTTTCAAACATTTTTACAAAGGGTTTTGGATTTTAATCAAGTCAAAAACTAATTTTTAACCCAACAGTACCGATACTACAAGAACAGTACCAATATTATTCATGTGGTATCGATATAGTATCGATACAAATAGCCTAAAATTTTAAAGCAGTTCTAATATTGCTCATAGCACTACTGATACTCCTTGTATAGTGCAAATTCTAATAGGCTATTTTGGTATTGATACTATGTAAGTATCGATACCAGTATCGATACTCGAAGTGAGATCGATACTCTCTTTGTGTTTTTGAAAAATATGAATTCTAGTATACTATTTTATTATTGATAGTCTTTCAAATATCGATATCAGTATCGATACTCTCTTGATGAGTATTGATACTCCCCTTCCCCA